TGATATGGGACGAGGCAGTGAACACAAAACTAAGTAACAAAAATAAACTCCTTTTCTTTTTCTCTGTCTCCCCCCCAAAAAAAAAACAAAAAAAAACAACATTTTAAAATAAAATTTTAATCTAAAAAATAGATAGATTTTTATATAAATAATTTTTTAACACATTTTTGATAAAAAATTTAAACATAAATAATAACACTCTAAAAAATGACCGTATCATAGTTAACTGGCGTGAGTTCTCCCCCTTTAAATAACTTCTTTTTTTGGGGGTAAGCGTTTTACGGCACTCACAACTGCGTATAAGGTCATATGACCCATTAAACATATTTTCCTGTTCATCATGATCATCATCATCAGAGTCTTTCACCCCTGGCAGGGTATAGGCCACATACAAGCTCCTTCCATTTATCTCTGTCCTGGGCCATCCTTCCTAGCTCGTTTCAAGTGAGCTTCAACTCTCCCATGTCCTTTTCCACACATCTCCATGTTTCCCGTGACCTACCCCTGCCTCGAGCTCCCTGTAGGTTCCATTGCAGTGACTGTCTTTGATATTTCCGCGGGGCTTTCTGGAGGTGTGTCCCATCCAACGCCACTTTCTTAGCCCTATTTCTACTTCTATATCCTTTTGTCCTATCCTTTCCCACAGCTTTTCATTTCTTATTCTATCCTGCCGCTTGATTCTTAGGATACTCTTCATGCATCTGTTGATGAAAGTCTGGACTTTATTCAGCACTGTCTTTGTTGTCTTCCAAGTTTCGCAGCCGTAGAGGAGCACAGACTTGACATTGAAATTAAAGAGTCGAATCTCGGTGCGCAGTGAGATGTTGCTTGCTTTCCAGACTTTTGATAATTGCTTGAATGCTGACCTTGCCTATGTGGTTCTTGCTTTTACATCTGCCTCATTTGTAGGTAAAGGAGTCCACTTCTTGTAGGGGAGTGTCTTCCACTGTCACAGCAGGGCTTGGCACTTTTCCTAGCTTCAATACTTTCGACTTGCCCGGGTGTATACGTAAGCCAACACTCCTTGGTACCCTGTAGAGTTCCTTGGTCTTTTCTTGCATCTGAGCATGTGTGTGAGAGAGCAGTGCAAGGTCATCGGCAAAGTCCAAGTCGTCCAGCTTCTGTCAAGGGATCCACTGTATTCCATTACGATTGCCTCTGCTGGTTTCTTTCGTGATCCAGTTAATTGCCAGTATGAAGAGAAAAGGTGAGAGCAAACAGTTGCCAAACATCCTTGTCGCACTCCTGTCTGTACCTGGAATGGTTCTGAGAGTTGTCCTTCGTGGAAGACTTGGCAGTTTGTTCCATCATAGGTGGTCTTCACACGCTTGACGATTTTCTCAGGTATTCCATAATGCGCATGACTTTCCACAGAGTTTCCCTGTCCACGCTGTCAAATGCCTTTTCATAATCAATAAAGTTGACCACTAGTGGTGAATTCCATTCTAGCGATTGCTCAACGATGATGCGCAGGGTAGCGATCTGGTCCACACATGATAGGTTCTTGCGGATTCCTGCCTGGTTTCCTCTGAGCTTCTCATCTGTTGCCAGCTTGATTCTCTCCAGGAGTATCCTGATAAACACTTTCCCAGGTATGGACAGGAGTGTTATCCCCCTGTAGTTGTTACAAAAGCATTTTCCGGTTAGGTAGGAATTAATTTTGAACTTTGGCCGAGTGGCGGCCGAAGCCTACTCTTATCGATTTTGGACCACCAAGGTATCTTTACGGTGTACATGAAACCTCCGAGATTTTCTGCCCTTATCCGGAAAGGCAAGGGGTTAAATCTTACCGACCTGCAGTGAAGATCAGGGGTGTTGCTGAAAGACAGCAGAAAGAAGAATCCAAAGGGGGCTCTCATCATGGTCTAGAAGTTAATCAATATGTCCCGGATTCGAATCCGGATGGCGATGGAACATTTTTCTCTCTGAAACTTTCTCCTTTCACATCCTTTCCGGCTCTCTAACAATGTTCTGTCGTTTGCTTTCGTCTCCACTTGCTGCTCCCACCCTCTCACCTCCATTGCCCCCTCCTCTGGGCTCCTGACTCTTTCTGCTGCCTTTCTACTGCTTACCTCCTCACTGCGAGCTGTCTTTAAGCCACACCCTTGATCTTATGTTAGGTAAGAAGATCGAACACCTTGCCTCCTTGGAGGTGCCGTGTGCAAGGTGCGCACGTTTAAGATCCCCTGTTGGTCCAAAATTGAGTAGACTTCGGTCGCCACCTGGGCAAAATTCAAAATTTCATACCAACTGAAAATGTTTAATGTGTCCCACGCGCTCAGGTGACCTTATGCAGTTGTGATCGCCGTAAAACACTTACAAAAAAAATATTCAGGGAGTAACAGTAGAAAGGTTGCAGACAGAGTCAGGAGCCTAGAGGAGTTTGCAAAGGGGAGGTTGCAGGTAGAAAAAGGAGACACAAGCAGATGACAGAACATGGTTACAGAGCAGGAAAGGAGGTGAAAAGGAGAACATTTTAGAGAATTTGCCGTCGTCGTCAGGTTTCGAACCCGGGATCTATTGAATGAGAGGCGAACACCATTACCTCTAGACCAATAGCAGCAATAAATGACTCTAGCAAAAAGGTGCAATGAAAAGCAAAAACTCAAAAGGTATATACGCATTAACCCTCTAGTGCCCAGGCATAGATTTCGTGGGTAAAAAAAATAAATCATCATATTAATACTGCGACAAAGAATTGAAAGAGCTATATATTATGTTCCGTAGCCTGTTTCACAGAAGACAACATGAACAATCAATGCAAAACAATTATGGTAAGTCTACCGTTCGTTTCAACCGGAGGCTACAGCCAGCCTCCTAATGAACCACAGTATTATTACGGTATCGCTCAAGTTTTACTTCTCATCCACGAGCTAGTCTAGTCTTAGTGGTTATGAGAAACAATATAATATTGAGCAAATTGAACGACGCAAAATCTGATCGATCTGGGCTGTAGACCAGAGAAAAAACGGACCTGTTGATATTAGACTCCTTGAAGAGGATGATCACTGGTTCAAAGTAGGATCTGGAGTACAACAGGGATGCGTTCTATTTCCCCTTCTGTATATAATTATAATAGACACAACAACGAAAGACCCAAACCAAAGTCCAGAAAGCGTAAAATAATTTTTGTTCTCAGACGACCAATGTCTTATTCATCATGACCAACAGAGCCTCCAACATCACACTACCGAACTCAACAACACTTTTGAGAAATTCAACATGAAAATAAGCACATCAAAAACAGAAGTTATGAAAGTGAGCCGACACCACAGTCCCAAGAACATCCATGTCAATCGTAAACAACTGAAACTGGTGAAGGAGTTTAAATATCTAGGCAGCACTTTTTGTGAAAACGGATCCATGGACAGAGAAATAGAAATGCGAACTCAAAAAGTCAACGCTGTCATCTACGAACTCGCACCCCTCCTGTCTCATCCAAACATCTCCATGGACACAAAGATACAGCTTATCACGTCAACATTCATACCAACATTATGTTATCAGTGCCAGACCTGGACTATAAGCAAAACCCATGAAAGCAAAATCACCGCATGCGAAATGAAATGTCTCCTCAAAACCTTTAACTTCACAAGACGAGACAGGCAGAGAAATGAAGAAAAAAAGAGCAGCTATCGGCACTGAGTCCAGCCTGCGTTTTACATAGAAAGACAAAGGATAAAATGGTTTGGCAACCTGTTACGCATGTCACCTGACCAGCCAGCCTCGAGAGCCTACAACACCAAGCACTCAGGCTATAAAGGAAGAGGAAGGCCACGCAAAAGGTGGATCGAGGGTCTCAAGGAAACCCTAAGAAAACAACATCACAACTGAAAGAGCTCCAGAGCTGGCCTACCACAGAAAACTGCACCTCCCCTCGGCGCTTAATGGCAACAGAGGATGAAAAAGTAAAAGTAAATAAGAAGAGGATGATTGATTTTAATTTTCTATAAAACAACCTTGCTCAAACTGAAACTACGCCGGCCAAGTCTATTATAATTTATTTGTAGCAAATAAAAATCTTACAGAAGGGGAAGATCTTTGATAAAGAACTAAACGTAATGCAGTGTATAGCATGTGTATATAAGCTTACTCTTTTTGCCCCCCCCCTCCCCTTTTCCCTTATGTCGATCGAGATAATGTATTGTGCGATATTAAAATGTACAGGCACATATAATAAGCCTACATTTTTTAAAATGAAGGGGCCTAATATGTTACACATGTAGCAAATGTATATGCCTACACGTTGCATCTTTCTAAAACCCCCTTTGTTGTGAGCACATACGTGTGTAAGCTATATTATTATTATTATGTTTGAGAACATGTGTGTGTGTGTGTGAGACAGAGAGAGAGAGAGAGAGAGAGAGAGAGAGAGAGAGAGAGAGAGAGAGAGGGAGAGAGAGAGAGAGAGAGAGAGAGAGAGAGAGAGAGAGAGAGAGAGAGAGAGAGAGAGAGAGAGAGAAAGAGAGAGAGAGTTGGGGGGGGGGGGGGGGGAGTATTGGCAGCTAAAACTGCAAAAGTTGGAATTGTGGCAGCCGTTTTCTATTTGATTTAGATCTATAATAGTTTTTAAAAAAAAAGTTTGCATCCAACCTGCCACTCGAGACACCCGGCAACGGAATATTGTAATTGTAAACACATTATGACGTTTGTTTTCAGTTAATTAAGCTACTACTGCAATGTTTTTGAAAATTTGTCTGTTGTTTCTCAGCATTATCAAAATCAAACCGCTTTTGAAAAGCATTAATAATCGCTTTGAAAACGATTAATGACATGTGATTTTAAATTACATCCATGGAAGCAAAGAACTCCCAAGATCTCGGTTCATATTATAGTAGTGCGGCTGAATAATCGTTCGATCGCTCGCTGAGTGGGAGGAGCAATTCATTTTGATGTAAATAAAAGCACGTGTTAAACCTACTTTCGATTCTGAATGACCAATCAAAAGTACACATCCGGGCATGTGATCATAAGTACCTCGTTTTGAAATGATACGGGAAAAATCCGCCATCTTGGCTCAAGCTGAACTGGCGAAAATATGTCCCTCGACGGCCAAGCCCTACCTCAAATTCAAGTGGAAAATGTCCTTGGTATGTGATTCACTTTTGGTTTGAAGTGTAAAGTAGCATTTTGATACGTGTGATAGCCATATAGTTGTTTAGACCTCTGTTTATTCTCAAGCGGGACCTAGATTACTCACCTCTTAGTGTCGAGAAAGGTCCCGGAGGCGCAGGAATATTGTCATCTCAGTATTCATACTCGTTTCGCGACGCACAGTCAAATAATTTTTTTCACGTGTACAAATGTCAGTCTATGCACGCTTTTATTTACGTCGCCGAATGCAAATTTAAAATCTCTATCAATTTCGCTCCAACATTTGTCAGAGCCTTTCTTCCCCCTTAAGCCTTTCTTTTCTCAGTCGTTGGAACCAACAGTAGACTCCCATTTGCCCATGCTTTTCATTCATGAGACCTGTCTTTTTATTTACCAATAATAGACTGTCTAAGACTTGGCCGGTGTAGTTTCTGTTTGAGCACCAACTTGGATGCTACAAAATCATAATCACAACTACTACTACTATGTTATAAACCTCCTTCTGCTTGTTGTCATTATTAGTTTCCACTGTAACATGTTACTACTTCAGATTCTGCTCGCAAACCCAATACACAGTATTTTATGGAGAGGAGAGCAACATGACTGTGACATGGTCAGCAAGGATTATATTATAACTTATATAAGAGCCTTTTTTGTTTGTTTTAATTCTTCCTTCTTCTTCTTCTGTCTTTACTGATTTATGTTTGACCTAGTTAGGACTAAATTATAATGTCATGTAGCGCCTGATTTATTTACCCCCCCCCCCCCCCCCCCCCAAGATCAAGGATGGTGGGTGGTTGGCGGGTGCACCTGGTGTGGTTTGCTCATCTTTCCTCCTTCTTTTTTATGCTTATGTTACTCTCTTGTAACACCTCGTCTTCAGCACTTACGTGACCTTATTGTGTTACAAGTGCCTTAAAACTCTTACTTTTTAAAAAACGGTGGACAAACTTGCAAAAATACAGAGATGATGATATAGCCTAGTTTTTCTGTTTCTCTAATTTAATTTATAGTAATTTTAATTTAATCTAATTCTTGATTTTTAGTTAGGCACTTTTTTAGAATACCTACTCAGATTGGGAGTACCAGTTGCATTATTAACCAATTTTACCCAAGAGTTGTAAAGCAATTTCAATATCAAACTATGTTACTCATTCGCTACGCCAAGCCATGGGCAGCGGCGCGCCGAAAGTGTCTTCCGTACGCCAAGTCGCCCTCGACAGCTCGAGCACCGACCTATAATTCTAGCTTAGATTTTATTCCAATCCATGTATCCATGTTAAAATAAAGGTTATAATATAACATTGACTTCCGGGTCAAACATTTCCACAGAAAATCGGAAGTTTAGATTCAGTTTTGATACGATTTCGTAGTTTGTTCTACTTTGCATCGCGATATCTAAATTATAGCCCAGACACCAGTCTTAGTGCTTTTTTTTACACAACAACGTGTATCATTATTTTGCTCACTAAAAAAATTTAGGATTCTTTTTTGAATATTGATACAAATGGACTCAAATTGCCAGTGCTCTGTTATTGAGAAATCAATATTTTTGAGTGCTAGATGTCAAAATATTTTTTTTCTCCCCAAAATCACAACTTTTTGGTGAAATTACACAAAAAGTGCAACTGAACACATGTATAGAAGAAATACAATTCTGAATAATTCCATAAAAGATACACAAGTATTTTCTCTGTTTGTGATCCTTTTTTCAAGATCATAAACATTTTTTTTTTTTTTCAGTATCGGATGTTATGATCCAAATGTACAAATGTTATGGAATTTATGTAAATAACTGCAAATTTTAAATATATTTTCCAGTTCTATATTCATTTATAGATATTTTGATGTATCATTTGACTAGGTGCAAACATATTTTTTGAGTTTCACCAAAGATTATTAATTTTTTATTTTCAAATTGTATCCACATCCAATCAAAATTATGTTGCATAATCGCCTCTTACAGGAACCAAAGTTGAAAAATACACAAACAATACAGATGTATTCAAAAAACCATACTGAAAATTTTTGCATATAATATGTTGATTTTATTTGAATTTGTGGCCCCAAAGACTTTAGAACTGCTCACTAGTCATCATCTCATTTCGCCCTCCCGAAAAAAATTTGTCCACAAGCCGAAAATAATGTGTAGCGAATGAGTTAAACTGTTCCTTGTTACCCTGTTCTTTATACAGTCGAATCTGCCTTAATGGAAACCCCTGTAACTAGTGTAAGACTGAAACCAGTCATGTATTGTATTACCGAATCTCTCTGCCCTGCTCCCCCTTTGATAAATTCTTTCATAATTTTCTTTATAAAATGTAAACCTGTCCAGCGTGGAAACGGAAAGAGAAACTCCTTCTCTTAGGAAGGTTTTTTTTACTTGTCTAAGACGGAAAATGTTGTGCCCACTCAGCCCTGATTTGAATCAAACTATCAAGTTAAGTTCCATTGACTCTAAACCTTACGCCATGCCGCTAGGCGAGGAAAGGGAGTAGGGGTGCAATTTGAGGGTAGATGTTACCCTATCCATGTGAGCCAGTGGAGGTGGTCAGAGTGGTGTCGGTATGAAATCACATCGGTGCCTGTGAAACTGCTCGAGTGGCCCTCACGCATGGAAGCTTTCATGGGTAGCCAGAAGCCAGAGGTGTGAAATTAGTTTGACCAATGCCTTCCTCTCTGATCATATGGCCAGCTGAGAAAAGAGTTCCTCGAATCATTTTTACATACATGATGGGTTGGGTGACATTGCCTGGGCTTATTACGTCGATGGGTGGGGCTAAGGGTGGAAGCAAAGGAGATGTTTAAATCCAACATTTCTGTTTTTAATAGGTCCAACAGTAGTGGTCTAGTGAAATGCAAGCACTTGTGGCAATGGATAAGTAGGACTGGTGCATGCCATTAGCAGAGAGGATAGCACCAAATGAGAGTTTTGTGAAGTTTTGACCACTGCTTGCCGACGGACAAGGGAGCCTTGATCCCACTAGCTGGGCCTCTAAAAACCCCCTCTAAATTCACGTCTAAGACTGAATTTTTTTTCGGGTTCGCTTGCGGTTTTGTCTTATACAGGTTCGACTGTATTGTTTTTTTGAAGTACATTCAGCGAGGGGAGATAATGAAAGATTTGGACTTTTATTAATTAGCCCTCATCGCTAAACATGTTAAATGGGCAAAAATCTGTGTTTGAAACTAGTCATCAGAATTGCATTGCTAAAATAGAACATTTTAATCGAAGATAATTTTTTTTCAAAACCAAGGAGTACTATTCTCAAAACATACAACCCTCTTAGTTTGGCTCATCAAATCAGCAGTTCCACAAAATGCGCTGTTTACTCTGACCTTGTTTTCACCAAATGCGTTTTATGAACCGACCAATGAAAAACAAGAAAACTGACTCTTTCCTGTCACACCCCCAGGTTACTATTCTTTACATTTATTACTTGTGCCAGACTGGCTAGAGTTTATGTTTTTGTGTGTTTGGGTATATATGTGAGTGCTGCATGCATGTATGCATGTGAGAAAGAGAACAATAATATTTTAATTATTCTAATTATATACATTAAAGAATAAACAAAAAAAATTACTGCTTTTTTGTGTCCCATGTTAGTATCTGAATGTTGGCTTGAGCAGCTTTTGTACAAAAACAAAAGCATATATGTGTGTAGCAGCTACTGTGATGTAGGGATTAGGCGCTTCGCTGTCACAGGTAGTAAACTCTTAGTTTGATTCCAGAGTGGAGAGAAATTTTATCACTTTCATCCAGGATCACTATTTTGATGACATCCCAAAGCTGGAACTACTAGGAGAAGGAACAGTTGTTATCAGCCCTAAGCGGTTCAAATTCAAAATGTCTTAAAGTTTTGTATTTTAAAAAGAATTTACCTAGTTTTTATGCTTTTGTGCTTGGTTCTGTGTACCCTGCCAATGCTATTCAGGATGTTGTGGCGCCTATTGTGAATTGATAACCACAGAAAGATGCCATAACATATTTCTGTGGTGTGTCATCTTACTTGAGCTTGCGGTGAAAATGGATGTTCTCCTTTGTGTCTTCTGCAGTTGAAAATGGAATATATACAATAGCTTTCTGTTGCTTTGAAAGTAAAATGTTTGTATATATATATAATAACAGTTCTTATACAGTGCTCTTTATTTATTCCCTTGAAAATATATGTTTATTTCAGATTATGCTCAGTACATTAGCCAAGTGGCTGCTCTTGATCCAGGTCTGCAAACTCTTCAAGGTCTCCATGGGTTGCAGGCCTTACCAGATGGCACAACAGTTGCCTTCATTGACTCCTCTGTTTTAGATACAAGTCAGATCTTTGATAACTCCGCTATCGAAGTTCACCAGACTTTACCAGAGGGGTCTATAGATCTTCAGCAGGTATGGATGGGATAAATTGATCCGTATGTGTTACTTTGTGCATGTGGGTTATTTTTCTGTTTTGTAAATCAGTTTTTGTGTTTTGTTCTTGATTTATGTTATGTAGGGGACCTGCAAACAAATTGTATTCTGAAATTTTGGTAATTTAATGTGGATCTTAACGTCTTAGTTGTGGATCTTTATTGAATAGTTTATATTAAGTAAATTGTTTGCAACTGAGTAATTAAAAAAAAATTATCATTCAGTTTCTGTGTTGGTTGGCGGGTGCTTTGATGTTGTTTGCTCTTTCTTTCCTATGAAACATCTATCATCCTTTTCTCTCCCTTTTTTACTTTTTTGTATTTGTTACTCTCTTGTAATACCTCTAGTCTTCAACACTTATATGACCTTATTGTGTTGCAAGTGCAGTACAATTCTAACTGAAACTAAAGCTTCAGTTTATGTGTTTTGTTTTTTAAACTTATCTAGGTCGTTTTTATGAATTACTTAGAGGGAAATTTTGGTAATTTAATGTTTAGCTTAGCTGTTGATATTTATTGGATAGTTTTTATTGAGTATCAACATGAAGTCTGTTTCAGGACTCCTTAAATATTTATGTATGCGACTGTTTAAAACATAAATGAGCATATTGTCTTATTGTCTAAATTTGATTTGTCATTGCTTATAAACATGTTAATTCTCCCCAGTGTCACCAAGTGGTCCTAGAACAACCTGTACTAGAACAGATATCTGGGGTGCAGCAAACAAATTTGGAGGCTCTTGACGTAAAACCTCCAATTGGAAAAGTGAGTGATGGAACTGAGTGGTGAAGTGTAATGTCGAGAATATTTTGTTTCAGGTCTCAGTTTTGTTGAATTCCTAGGCATGTGTACTATGAATAGTTTTGAATGATTGCCAAACATGTATTCTTTTAGATGGGATGAGTAATTTGATGATCTTCTCTGAATTCTGTTGTTTCTTTAGTTGCTGAAGATTTTGAAGTAGAGAAATATTGGGACTTTTCTTGATTTGTTTTAAGCCCGAAGTGCACACCATGCCACTCTTGAGGCAATGGTACATTGGTTTTGTTGGATTATATCAATTCTTTTTGATAGGAAAATGCTGTATAAATGTTGTTAGTTATGAAAATAATGATGGTATATTAAATCAATGCATTATTTTTATAGCTATCATCATTAATATAACTGTTGAATATATTATCTAGTACATTTTTGTTGATAGCAAGAATGTTTATTATCTGGAGTGAAGACTAAATTTCTAAAGTTAAATTGATTGCCGTTGCTTTTTTCAGGGTCCTTTCAATTGTACGCTATGTGATAAAGTATTCAACAAGTGGAATCAGCTACAAAGACACTTAAAGACCCACGATGAAGACAAACCTTTCAGGTAATTATAGTTTTTGTGCTGTCTATAAGTTTATTTAAATTTATTTCCTTTTCCACAATGTATTACCTGTATAACCTGTCCTGGGCAACAACGTCATTGCACACCGGACAGGTCCATAAGTGCTCAGTTCCCCCCAGCACCAAAGCCTGCAAGGTATCCATATTTTCCACAATGTGCTCTCTCTTGTCTTTTCCTGATAGGAAAATAATTTTCCTCAAATTTCTATGAATGATATGTTGTATAGATTGAAATAAAAGATCAAATTGGTGCCTGAGCTCAGCTCAACTTAAGTGAACATAGTGCTGAAAGAAATATATGGCTTTTAAAAATGATGTCAGCTCTCAAAGGGACACTTTATTTGGGCTATAGTCATAATGTTGTCTGAATACAGTTGGCACAAAGTGATTGTAGAACTAAGATAATACTATTTTTTAAATTTTTTATTATGCTTACAATCAGTATTTCTTGTGTACTTAAAATTTGTATGATAAAGTGTGTGAATCTTTCTCTGATTTAATTATGGTAATGGTCACTCTACACTCTACAGATGTAACCAGTGCCCAATGTCCTACAATATTGAGGACAATCTGCTCTTGCACTTGGCCACCCATGTGGGACCGGACCGTGAGCCGATTTGTCCAGAGTGTGGCAAGAAATTCTCCAGGGTGGCCAGTCTCAAAGCTCACATCATGCTCCATGAGAAGGAAGAGAGCTTGATGTGTCCGGAGTGTGGAGATGAGTTCAGTGTGCAGGTTTGTCTTTTGAGCATCTTTGAAAGTGTGGAGCAATGTAACCAGAGCTCTGGGCGTTAAACAGGTTTTCAACTTTGTTGTGTGTTTCTGAACAGGTTGAGACGCATCTCGACTGCTCAGTATAAGACTCTGTCATACGTCATTTTTTAAATGGCATATGGCAGTCTTACTCTAAGCAGTCAATCTGTTCATCATATACAGTCGAACCTGCCCTGACGGCCACCTCTATAAGACGACCACCTGTACAAACGGCCACTTTCCATTTCCCCCCTTGCGTTTTTTCTATATAATTTAACTGTGTAAAACGGGCACCTGTCCAACGCGGCCGCGGCCACAATAATTTAACACACAACCCCTATCATACTAAGCAATAACACCTGTCTAAGGCGGTCACCTTAGTGACTCCATTACGTTTTGTCATAAATTGTGCATTGGCCCCTGGCGTTGTGGGCGAGCCGTCATAATTCAATCACCTGTCGTTGTTGTTAGGTAGTCCCTCCAACCGATCATGTTGTGTAGCCCCCCCCCACTGTTGACCAATAGCTACCAATTTTCAGCTGCTGGTGAGGTAAGCGTGTGATCCCTCATATCCCATAAGCCCCGCCCAGAACTCATACACAAATCGTAAGCGAGATGAGTGGTCACTGTTTACCCAGTCTATAACAAAGTAACAAAGGACGTAACATGAACTTGTTACAGAAACGCCACTCGTTCTCCGAGTGGTGGCGACACATGTGTTTGTTTTAACATGGCACTCAGTCTTCCTTGTCTGATACATTTCGTTTTATTGTCACCCTTGTGCAAAATCAGCGACAAAAGAAAAATTACAAACGAAATACAAACCAACAACAACAACATCAACAAAGACAACATAATGGGGCTACTTTCGATTGGGGCCTCAGATGGGAATGGTTTGTTTTCTTTATCTTGATCAGTCCTGCCTAAGACGGCCACCTGTCTTATACGGCCACTTTTCTCCTTGACAATTGGTGGCCGTCTTACACAGGTTTGACTGTATTTGTTATACATTCTTAGCGAACAAGAGAGTATTAGTGGTTTGCAATGAACACTGGATTGTTACTTCCTTTGTCAAGTGAGTCTTTTTTATCTTTACCCAGACCTTGGCACGAAAAACACTGATTTCAGAATACTGCTTAAAAACAAAGTTTTTTTTCTTCTCCCTAATTTAGTAATTGTGTGTGTGTGTTTTTGTTTTGTACGGCATTTTTAGATTAGTAAAGATGTCATTGTTTATGCATTTTGGTGTCATCATACAGCACCAGCTTGATAGACACTTGCAAGAACACCGTGAAGAGCAGGAAGGTGTACGGATTTATCAATGCAGTCAGTGCAGTCAGGAGTTTAACAAGATGTCCTCCCTGAGAGAGCACATGAAACAACATTACAAAGTCAAGTAAGTTTGGTTTTCTCCTGGGAAAGAGTAAACTGATTTTGTTTTGTGGGTACTTCATTTAGATTTAACCTAAGCTACAATGAGTTTCAGATTTTCGTCTTTTTGATCTTGGTTCATACATTTTGTAAGAAATCTAGTTTCCCAATGCTGTGTATTTTTGCTTTTGTGTTAACAATCTGAAATTTTATTTTTAAAATCTGTAAACACCGCGGGGCAGTGCCACTGACTGAAATGTCTTTAGGCCATTCCCGAAGGGGGGACATTTCTCGTTCAAGCATAGTAGAATTGTAAATGGGCTGACTTATGTCACGCTCATAACTGTGCCTGATCTACAACAGGGAACTGCTGCTTTTTCTTTCCTGATCCTTACTATTGTCATTTTCCTCCACCTCTTTTGTATGTTTGTCACTGTCTTGTGATCTGCTATTTTGGGGTGCCTTGATAGTCGAAGCAGTCCTTGTGGTGTTGAAGCTAGAGAGGTGAGCAGTCTAAGTCAGATTCCCTGTAAAGACTTCTCTGTTGACACCCACCCCTTGGGGCTCATATGAACTTATGCAGTTGTGAGCGCCGTAAAACCCTCTACTATAAAAAAAAAGAAGAAAAAAAATCAAAAAAATCTGTAAATTCTTTGCTATATCAACAGGCTGATGGGCTCAAATTCAGATGGCAGCTGGATCAGAGAAATTGAAATAATTTGAAGTTGTTGATGTTAACACCTCTTTAAGAATAAAACCTGAAATATATTGTTTGACTTTGGATTCAAATAATCCTTTAAAATGTGGGATTGTTTTTAAAAAATACTTTTATTAACTAAATATATTCTTTGAAAAATTATCTTTTCAGAGCATCCTTGCATCACCGGACATATAAACGTAATGTTGATAGAACAGGCTTCTCTCATAAGTGCAAGCACTGCAACAAGACTTTCCAAAAGCCTAGTCAGTTGGAACGCCATGAGAGAATACACACAGGTAAAACAGCAGAAGCAGACTGGCATCATATTTTAGATTGGTATAAGTGCTACAGTTCCTTACTGAAGCTTGAGAAAACAGGATTTAGAGTACATTAATTTTCTCACTACCCTACCCAAGACTACCCTGCCTTGTGTAGTGGGATTAGTAGCAAGCCTGGTCGTCAAGAGTTAATTATGTCTCAAGATGTTATCTTTTTATTCCTTTTACCCTTCTCCTGACTGCTAACCACACATGCACCCACAATTGGGGCTGTGTCGAGCACGCTTGAGCGTTTCTTACTTGCGAGCGGCACCTTGCTCGAGCCACTGGAGCAGTACTGATACCTCTGGATACACTGCCGCTTGAGTAGCACGGTACCATCAGTGCTCAAGCGAGAGCGGGGTTCCAACAGTTTCACCGCCTCCACTCGGAGTAATGCACAGCACTACTCCACATGCTAAGAAAAATTCAACAATGCGTAGGTCATCACTGGTCACAGTCTTTAATTGGCTTTTATAAGAAACAGGTAAAACTGTATATCAGTAGAAAAAGAAGTGACAAGACTTGCGTAGAACAACCCCCGACAATGTAAAAAACTTGAAAGTTCTGAGACTGAGCAAGCGCTCCTATTCAGTGTGTTGGCTTTGTCTTGCACAAGTACTGAGATTGAATGAGCATTCCGATTTTATGCGTCAGTTGTGACTTTCTCCCACAATGTGTATCGGAAAATCAACACACTTCATTTCAGCAAGTGGACACAAAAGGCGGGGATATGAATTTCATTATTTCAAACTGGGTATGCGAAAATAAGTAGGAAACAAAACACAGGTTTTTAAGGGCTTACCAGATATGCAGACAGCGCGTGTGGTGGCGAATTGTATGGTCGTACCAGGTACACGTGCAAAACTGGCGAGGGGTCAATATTTGAATGTGTTTGCCCGCTTGCGTGCTTTGAAATCAAGTTTAGTAGTCCTGTCAAAATGGGAAATATGTATTTAGGAAAGAATCAGAATAGATTAGGTTTGTGCATGTTGCTGTTGATATAAGATAATTATTTGTAAAAGCATCTTGATGAACTGATGCAAGTGCCTAAAGTGTTGAGCTCACCTCATGTGTTGTGGTTTTCATATCTGAATCTTGACCTAATTTTTCCTTTCATGGATTCACAAATGTGCCATCATCACAGTTTAGTTTTGTTAGCTAATTGGATATGCACACAATGCTACTTGTTGATGTTAGCGGATGAGATTTTATTGTTAAAGGATGTCACTTCGCTCAAGGAAAATTGTTTCCGCTAATAAAGTAGTATCTCATGATTAGTGACACGACTGAAGCTTGAATCATTTTGATAAGAAACTTCTTCAAATGAAATTTCACCTGTCTTATATGTTTGTTCTAAAGAACATTTTTTTGCTATTCATTATTTTGCAAACAGCTTTCTTTTCATGCGAATGCTTGAAGTGATCTCTTTATTAATTAAACACCACGTTGTTTGTTTCTTTTTGTTTTTTTCCAGGTGAGCGTCCTTATGTATGTCAGATTTGTCAGAAATCTTTCAACCAAAAGGGAGCTCTACAGATGCACAAGACCAAACACACAGGAGAAAAACCACACACATGCACTTTTTGCCCCATGACATTTGCTCAGAAAGGCAATCTGAGATCACATATTAAGGTTAGTTTATGAGTAGTATAAAATCATTGGAGGATGTCTCTCTGTATGCTCTTTATCTGTCTCTGTAATGAGAGTTTGGTAAGGGTAATATAATGCAGCCTCTCTATAACGACATCGTCGGGACCAGAAAAAAGTATCCTTATAGAAAGTTGTCGTTATAGAGAGGCAACAAAAAGCTATTAATGATGTATAAGGAAAAAATCGAGACCTAGGCACCATGTCGCTATACAGAGAATGTCGTTATATTGAAGGTTGTTATAGAGAGGCTGCTCTGAATTTTGTTTTAGATAGCTAAAGACATTAATTTATCTGTTGGAGATACTGGTTTAGCTGAATAGATTCTACAGAAGCAATATTTTATTTCTTTACAGCGTGTACACACTCTGAACAAAGACGAGAATGGCATGATCTATGAGTGCGAGGAGTGCAGCTGTATGTTCCGCAGACTGGGATCGCTGAATGCTCACATCAGCCGCGCACATGCTGATCCAGGAGTGAGTTCTTTTCTCTTATTCTTGTTGACATAGTAAAGTGAATGTAGAAATTAACCTCTTATGGCATAAGAAAGGTCAGTTTTGCATTCAAATTGTAAGGAATATTAGGTACACTGAATGATACTCAAGGGCTTAAAAATCATTATTGAATGCTCACAATTTGTCCTTGGCTGCCTGCATTGAGGCGGTTATCCCATTGTTCAAAGTAATACCTGTGAAGTATTAGCTCATACAGCATTGAAATTGTTTTTTAAGTCCTTGCACTAAAATTTATGTTTGTGCTACTTTCATCAAATTGTTTGTGTTGAAAAGACTCACTGGTACTTGTACAAAGTCATAAAGTGTGAGAAGAATATTTCTGAGTTACGAGAAACAACAGAAAGATAAAAAAGATAGGATAAGATTAGCAATGACAATGAAAAATTAAATTTTCATCCGAATTGCTTAAAAATGGGCTTAAATGAAACTAGAGTAAATTCTAAGAACTGTGGTTTTTAAATTTTAAAAATCCATTGATAAATAAAAAAGTTATTGGGATTTTTGTTTGCAAAATGTTGGAGGACCTTCATATAGGAAAAAATCGCCAAAATGTGGGACATGTTTTGATGTATTTTGAGGAAAAACTGTTCATAAGTCAGTAATGAATTGGAGCATATGAATGAAACTTGGCATCTCCATGTGATTTTTAGTGCCAAATCTAGTTCTGCTATCACTTTTTCGTTGTCTTCATTACTTTGGATCTTAAAGACTGATATTTGCGTGAAATTTGTTGAATTGCGTGACATCGTTTTTACCGCGACGCGATCACCCCTTCTAAAACTCAGTAAAGCGCTATCGGGAAAACCCGCGATGTAGTCATCGGTGACCCATTTGGTTATAGGCAGCCAATCACATGCCGCCTAGCGATCACGCGCCTCTTGCATGCCGGCACCTCGCGTTTGGAATGCGCGATTAAGTTTCTAGATCTAGTGTTTTATCAATGGGTGGATGGTAATTTTAAGTTGGTACGGAAAATCTACTAAACGCAGAGATCTGAAATTTTACAGCAATAAAGAAGACATGTGGGGCGCTTGTGTGGTCGGCGATCAACCCGCAGCTCCGCTTAGTTTTCGAACCGCAGAGGAAATTCTCACAAACACGGCAATATCTCCGGTTCTAGTAATCGTTCGGGATTGTACGCTGGCATGTCGTTAGTTTAACCTTTCCTCTGGTTGGTTGCCGAGTTTCATTTATTTTCGTCCAGGAGTTTTCCCGTAACTAAACTTAGAAGAGAGTCACTTCTGATTCCGAGCGGCCCAAAAAATACCCCTCGCGCGGAGGCCGATTTCCGGCACAAGGCGCAGCGGGCGATTGGCATTGCTAATAAGATATAGCATTACTGTCTAGATCCTGGCACATTGGTTTGGTGTTTCGCCTCGTCTCACATACACACACATACACACACACACACACGCACGCACGCATGCACACACGCACGCATGCATGCACGCACGCACGCACGCATGCACACACGCACACACATGCAGTGTGCTTTCACTCATAAACAGGCTTACAGTCACATGCATAATTTAAATGAACAGTAATATAAAAAACAATAATAATGTTAAGCTTGTTAGACTATTAGATTGCTTTTATCAATATACAGAAGGGAAACAATAAATCCTGGATTGTTGGTCCCTATATTAACATGTTGAATTATGTCCCTGTAATTGTACTTTTATTTATCTACCCTCACAACAAAGATTGTCTGATCTTAGTGATCTTTACTCACTCCTCCTTCCTGTTTCAATCACATGTACTCATGCTCATTATGATTTATTTAGTCTTGTCAGTGAAGCCAGAGAGGGCAGACCTCATTATTTTCATCATTAAATTACCCTTCTTCATTTAGAAACGGAGTTCTTACTTTTGCTTTATTATATACAATAATGGCAAACAACCCCAGTGCAACAGGTTATGGGCCCAGTACCACCAGAACTCTGAGAATTTCATTTGAAGGAGATGAAAGGAATTTTTCCCTCTGGGAAACCAAGTTTTTGGGATTCATGAGAATTAGAAATCTACACTCAGTTTTTAAAGACTTGGATAAAGACGATCTCCCAGTAGACGACAACAAGAACGAGGAAGCCTTCGCTGAACTAGTCAAGGTGCTGGACGACAGGTTTCTATCGTTAATCGTCAGAGACGCAAAAGACGATGGTCGCAAAGCTTTACAAATTCTGCGTAACCACTACAGGCCGACAGGAAAGCCGAGAGTCATAACTCTCTACACACAACAGACTTCGCTTGTCAAGAACAAGCACGAATCCATGACGGACTACATCATCCGTGCCGAGACAGCTGCCTCATGTCTGAGGGACGCCGGAGAAGTGATCTCTGACAGCCTGCTCGTCGCGATGGTCCTGAAAGGCTTGCCCAGTGGATACCAACCTTTCGTCACCGTAATGACACAACGGGACAAGACTGACATTTTCAGAATTCAAAGTCGCACTTCGAAATCACGAAGACACCGATGAGATCAGCCGACGACAACCACCACAGACGAGTTCGTCAACAAACGTGATGTCATTTAATCACAAACGATTGTGTCATCGATGCAAATCGCCGACACACGACACCAGCTTCTGCAGGAGGATGCAACCACCAACGTCTTCGAACTGCCAGCCTCGCACAGGTGAGACATTACAAAAACATTTTAAACAGAAGTGGTGTGAAATTTGTAGAAACAAAACACATTCAACAAGCGATTGTAGGAAGCTCTCGAAACTTAGAAAAGTGAAAGAAACAAGTGAAAGTGAAGACTCAGAACACTATACATTCTGTGTAGACCAAAGAGTAACAACGGATAATTCTGTAAACTTCGGAAAATTACTCGTGGACAGTAGTGCCAGCGTACATATCGTGAACGACGAAAGTAAGTTCAAACGGTTTAATAATAATTTTAAGTCGTCGGACCACATCATTGAACTCGCTGACGGCACCCGCAACAGAAGCCTTGTTTTAGGGCAGGGGGACGCAGAAATTGACATTTGTGATTCAAAAGGAAAGCTGTGCTCCATCACTCTCAAGGATGCGTTATATGTTCCATCGTTTGCCCAGAACATCTTTTCTGTGACAGCCGCAACAGAGAAAGGGGCTACGAACATCTTTACAGAAAATTCCGGGAAGCTTTACCCAAAGGACAGCTCAACGTGTCTAGACATCTACAAAGAAGGAAAGCTATACTACTTGAACAGTTTACAACACACCACCAAGGTTTCCAGGAGATCGCTGAAGCAGTGGCATGAAGCCCTAGGCCACTGTAACACCCAGGACATTCTGAAACTGGAAGGTAAAGTTGAAGGTATGGTCATTACCAATAAGACTGATAACTTTAAATGTGAAGTGTGCCCCCAAGCAAAAATGACTGACTCTAGGAGCAGAGTTCCAGATAACAGTGCTAGTGCACCTTTTGAACTTGTCCATATTGATTTATCAGGACCTATTGACCCTGAAAGTATTGATGGGCACAAATATGCATTGGTTTGTATTGATAGTTTTTCTAACCTAACTTGTGTTTATTTTCTAAAGCACAAAAGTGATGCATGTGATGCTTTCAAACAATACATTGCTGATATTGTACCTTATGGCTCTATCAAATCAGTTAGAAGTGATCAAGGGGGGGAATTCATTTCAGAAAAATTTACCTCTATGTTGGTCCAAAATAAAATTCGCCATGAGAGAAGTGCACCTTACAGTCAGCATCAAAACGGCAAAGCCGAAAGGGCATGGCGAACATTATTTGACATGGCAAGATGTTTACTTGTGCAATCTGGTTTGCCCAAAAATCTGTGGACATATGCTGTTCTGACAGCTGCATATATCCGCAACAGGTGCTTCAATAAGAAAATTGAAAGCACTCCTTTTCAACACATTATTGGCAAGAGACCCAACATAGCTAACATGCAAACATTTGGCTCTACATGTTTCTGTTTGGTCCAAAACCCCAAGAAACTTGACAGTAGAAGTGTGAAGGGCATATTCCTAGGGTATGACAGAAGAAGCCCTGCTTATCTGATCTACTTCCCTGAAACACTAGAAGTTAAGAAGATCAGATGTGTTCAATTTCACAATGTTGACTCTGAGAAACCTGACTCTGTTGAAATTCATTTTGAAGACTATATTCAGGACAAAAACACGCCTGATGAAACCCAAAAGAAAACTAACCCAACTGTAACAGTTGAAGAAAATAAAACAACCCAACAAAGTCAGAGTTCCCAAGAGGCTACAGAAGGTTTAGGGAAAAGAAACAGAATCCCACCTAAGTATCTTGATGACTATATTGTTACAAATGACCATGATGATTGTGATGAAAATTATTTTTTGAATAGCACTTTCTTACACTACTGCTACAACAATGTACATCACATACCTGACCTACTTGCTACAATAATGCCATATCATGTGATGAGGCTAATAAGTGGCAAAAGGCCATGGACACCGAGATGTGTGCTTTGGAAGAGAATGACACCTTTGAGTGTACAACAATACCTCCAGGCAGGAAAGCAGTGGGGGGAAGATGGGTGTTCTAGTAGTAGTAGTATAAGGTTTTACGGCGCTCTGATGGGTGTTCTAGTAGTAGTAGTATAAGGTTTTACGGCGCTCTGATGGCTGTTCTAGTAGTAGTATAAGGTTTTACGGCGCTCTGATGGCTGTTCTAGTAGTAGTAGTATAAGGTTTTACGGCGCTCTGATGGCTGTTCTAGTAGTAGTAGTATAAGGTTTTACGGCGCTCTGATGGCTGTTCAATGTAAAGCCCAACCCTAATGGGGAAGAAACTTATAAAGCCAGATATGTGGCAAAGGGCTTTTCTCAAATCCCAGACATAGATTTTCAAGAAACATTCTCTCCTACGGCACGCATTACGTCTGTCCGGACGCTAGTTCAATGTGCAGTCCAAAATGACCAAATGATCCATCAAATGGATGTTAAAACTGCCTATCTCAATGCACCAATTGACTGCGAACTGTATGTAGAACAACCTGAGGGTTATGTGAAAACCAATGGACAAGGTGAAAAACTTGTCTGGAGATTAAAGAAATCTCTCTATGGTTTGAAACAGAGTGGAAGAAACTGGAACAATCTTCTCCACGAACACTTGATAGCTGATGGCTTTGCACAATCATTAGTTGACACATGTGTTTATGTCAAAGATTCAGATAATACAAATGAAATGTGTATTGTCCTTGTGTGGGTAGATGATATTTTGCTTGTAACCAAAAATGATGCAGCCATGACAAACATGAAGAATAGCCTTAACAAGCATTTCCACATGAAAGATCTAGATATGAACCTATCCCATATAGGCTTAGACTATCTATGCTATGACATGATGAATGAGTCTATGACTAGAGTCAGATATGATCATACATGTTGTCATTGATATCTTCTAGACAAAGTCTAGATTATCATCTATCATTGTTCTATTTATCATTGTTCTATCTATTATATCTATCACTGTCATATCACTCACTGTATATCATTACGATTGTTGCCTTATAAACTTCAATGATGTTTATCAGATTCAGCATACAACAAGCAGAGTCATAACTGTAACCATTAACTTGAATTGTAGACTTTGCCTTATAGTATTAGCAGTCAGATTATGCTAGTTTTTGTTATAATCCTTAATTTATACGGTCCAATAGTCAAATGAACTTTTGAGTTTGTTAAATCGGACCTAACAAGTTCCAAGAATCGTACAGTTATCAATGTGCATGTTAGTATATTTGTATTACTACATTATGAATTTGTTTAATCCTAACAACTCAGGATTTAAGTGGGGGTGTTAGACTATTAGATTGCTTTTATCAAGATACAGAAGGGAAACAATAAATCCTGGATTGTTGGTCCCTATATTAACATGTTGAATTATGTCCCTGTAATTGTACTTTTATTTATCTACCCTCACAACAAAGATTGTCTGATCTTAGTGATCTTTACTCACTCCTCCTTCCTGTTTCAATCACATGTACTCATGCTCATTATGATTTATTTAGTCTTGTCAGTGAAGCCAGAGAGGGCAGACCTCATATTATTTTCATCATTAAATTACCCTTCTTCATTTAGAAACGGAGTTCTTACTTTTGCTTTATTATATACAATAATGGCAAACAACCCCAGTGCAACAAAGCTAGATACATACTCAGTATTCTGATTGTAACTCAGTGGTATTCTAATGCATGCTCTAAGGTCATATGAATACCCGATAGACCTGCCTTTTGAATATGTCTACCTTTCAAGTGTTTTGTAAGAAATCTTGTACGATTTTTTGAGAGAGAGATTTAAAAACAAAACAACTGACAACTCATGGCTCTATGATATTGACCCGTTTCTTTTTAACAGGATAGCCACCCAGCCACAGTGCAGGACATGAAGATGCCTGAGCAGCACTCCCTGCAGCAGCTGTCAGACATGAATGACTCCGCCATGATCAGCGACGTGCTGGGCTTGGACCAGGTCAGTGGAGGTGCTGACCTCACCGGGGCTTCCTTGGTGGACGGACAAGTCATTCATGGTTCTCTCGACCAGGTGAGGGCATAGTTAAGTTGACGTTTGGGTCAACGTAAAGAAGTAAAGTTGACGTATGGGTCAGTATGAATAGAGCTTGGCAAACCATGTCTTAAACTGTTTGAAGTAGGGCCATATGTGAAAACTTGTTTTTAGGTTTTTAAATATTATCATTGAAGTCTGAAATCCCCCTATCAGCACTCTCCAATTATTTAAGAGGCAGGACCTCTAAATTTAACGTCCCATCTCTAATAAGACCGAACCAAATGAAAACTTCACACAATGACTGGAGTTTAAGAACGACCAGTCTGGGTTTCGAACCAGGGACGTGCGCTCTGTAGTCCAACATGCTATCAACTTAGCTCACGGAGCACCTCAGTGAAGGCATGTTAACTACTGTCTTTGTATGGTTAAGGACTTAGCAAGCTCCCTAAGAAATGTAGAACGATCCCTTTTCCTGGAAAAAAAATGAAGATAGATAATTATAATTGCTTTACTAGTTTGTAAACCCTATAAAGGTGTTCTTTTGGGGTCTGTTCTATCTGATCGAAAAGGGTAACGCTTGGTTAATCATTGACCAAATAACCTGAAATGAGGTTGATCTTTTCGTATCACACACATTTAAGTTTCATAAGTTGAATTAGCTAAAAAGTGTATTATCATTGTCAGAAATGAATGACTAATTTTCCAAATGTAATTTGACATATTGGATGTTTATTCGGTTCAAGTAATTGTGGTGTTTGAAGTTTCTAATAGGAATGTGCTCCTTGAACCTATGTTTTTCTTTATAGTTTCTCAAACTTTGCCTTTGCTAAGAAGCTTTGATTTTTACTGTGTTTTTGTGATTTGGGTTGGAAGTTTAAATGACCTTTTTACTTGTGCGCTCATATGACCTCATGCAGTTGTGATCGCCGTTAAACTCTTACTAAAACTAAAAAAACACCTTTTTACTTCCTTCTTCCTTGTAGGGAGCGTCTGACATTCTGCAGCAAGCACTGGAGAACAGCGGTCTTCCCAGCACAGTGGTCGGTGAGCAGGAAGTGGATGGAAACAGGGACGGCTCTGCTACTGTCGCTGGGGGGACTGCGTCTGCTACTGTCACTTCCACCGCAAACATTGTCCGCGCTGGCAATGTGGCCCGACTGGGGACCATGGCTGTTCATGATGCAGCTACTGGTCTGCTCAAGAGACACTATATAAGAAAGGTGTGTTTGGGTTGTAATTTTTTAAAAATGTAGGTGTTTTTACGGCCCCATCTTCACAATCTAGGTTATTTAGGAGGCTGGCAAATCCATGCAGAGAAGGATATATCTCTGTAGAAAGACTGAGATATTCGATCAAAATGAGGTTGTTTGTGCATCAGATGGTTTGAGGTTTATGGGGGAAATGATTGAGTATGACTGTTCAGTAAATTTAGCAACAAAAAGAAATGTTGAAATTGTTGGCCACATGTTTTTGGTCTCAAAAGTCTTCAGACTGACTTGTCTAGGCAGTATGAGTAGAGCTTGGCAAACCATGTCTTTAACTGCTTGAAGTAGGGCCATGTGTGAAAATTGTGTTTTTTGGTTTTTAGGCATTATCATTGAAGTCTGAACTTTAATGTCTTTTGGCCAATTTATAGTCATGCATTTGTTTGTAGTTTTCATAAAAGCTATTAATGTATTTTTAATATACACACATATTTTTTCATATCGACTGTTTAGTGTAAGACTCAGCTATACACCATTTTGAAAAGAAACATTTGAAGTGTGCTGACAAAATATGAGTTACTCTTCGGATTCAAGCCTTATGGAAATAGATACATCACGCTTATAGGTGAAGTTTTTACAACTTGTTAGTGTGAAATAATATAAGGTCTGTTATAGTTAAAGAATGTGGCATCAATAGAAATTCTACAAATTTGATCCTGGGGTCGATTTTTGGCCAATATTTCCATTTGTGGATTGTGAGAAGTAATTCATTTTGTCAGCACGTATGACATATGATAGAGTGTTACACCCAGCAGTCAGTGCACAGTCGTGTCATGTTGAATGAATTTGTCAGTATCTTATGGAAATGTGTGCTTCTCGTGTGTCCTGTCAGGTCAATGGAGTTCGATGGCATCAGTGCACATACTGCTCCAAAGAGTTCAAGAAGCCCAGTGATCTTGTGCGGCACATTCGGATACACACCCATGAAAAACCGTACAAGTGCCGGCAATGTTTCCGAGCATTTGCGGTGAAGAGCACTCTCACTGCTCACATCAAAACACACACAGGGGTCAAAGATTTCCGATGTGAAATTTGCAGCAAAATGTTTTCCACTCAGGGAAGTTTGAAGGTCCATTTACGATTGCATACAGGTAAGTGGCTCTGTTTAGTGTTTCTTTCTTTGGTTGAGCAAATGTCTGAGCAGATTTAGTTTCTCCTTATCTTCCTTTTCTTCTTCATGTTGGATAGCTGTTTGTAGAACTGGTTCTTTATTTTTGATCATGTGTAGTGAAAAACTATATTTTCTTTCCTCCAAGAGTCGTGTCTTCCAAACACAAATGAAATACTTGAGATGGTTAAATATTTGAGGAATGTCACTTAAGTGTCTTGACATTTATACATAAAAAATAAAATCAAAAGTATGTTATGTGGAAATTTTCGTTTTGACAAACATGTGTTCTTTCAGATGTTTTATCAAAATAGCTACAGTATTTACTACTGTGTTCATGAAGTTGGTTGTGCTGTCAGAGTTCGAGTGTGACAATGCTACTAAGTTGTCGATAATTTGACAAATGCAGTGTAGTGTGACCAAGGGTAACAAACTTTTTATATGCTAGTAACCAGTAAACAGATATTGTTTACTTTTCTACTGTGCTTACGTCTTGTTTTAAAACAAAATTTTGCAGGAGCCAAGCCATTTGAATGTACTCACTGTGATAAAAAGTTCAGGACATCTGCTCATTGCAAAGCTCACATCCAGTCTCACTTCAAAGATTCGGACAGTGTGCCGCGGTCACGGAGACCCCTCAAACGCCAGTCTCGTCATGATGCTCTCCTCACAGATATACCACTACAGGAACCCATTTTGATCACCGATTCAGGTTAGCCTTTACTCTTGTTTTTCGTCCTTTTAGGTTTCTGGCAAATGCCTCCCATACACCTGTGCTTGTACTGGTCTCCCCCCCCCCCCTTTCCCATTCAGATTAGAGTTTTTTCTCTGTTTGATAACATAACTCCCACCCGTGATATTTTTGTATTTAAACTAACTTTAAATTGTAAAAGTGATGTCAGATTATGAATTATGACAGTATCTTACAGATTGTAAAAGGATTTTGAAATTCTTTATTTACCATGCATTTATGGATTACATTTTGTCTGAACGGTGCCTTATTTTTTTGTCCAGTGTCTGTGAATTTGAATCTCAATACTGTCTCTGTTACTATTTCTGAGTTTTTCCTAATTTCTTTTCAGTTTTAGTCCGATTTTGGTGATAACCTGTGATGGTTGAAAGTTAATCAGTGTTGTAACGTTACAATAATTTGATCTTGGTACATGCAGGTCTGATCCAGCAACCACCGAAAAACTCCATGTTCCCACCCTTTGCCAATGAGACCAACAATCTTGAGAGACCATATAAGTGCCAGTACTGCCGCAGGGGCTTCAAGAAGTCCAGCCATTTGAAGCAGCATGTGCGATCACACACTGGTGAGTAATAAGTAATATATTGCGATTCTATCTTCATGTCAAATATTGCTATTGCTCTGCAATGTTTGTGTCTTGTGTTGAGTACAATATATGTTTTACCATAGAGTGCTGTTTTTAAGATTTGGATTCTATAGTTGTTCTGTTGTTAAGTTTTAATCAAAAGATGAAATTTGATCCTTTGAAAAGTTGTTAAATGGGCTCAAATGAACCAAATAAACTCAGCCTTTTGTTTGATATATGCTCATATATTATGACCATACCAGGTTCATGTTTGTGTTGTGGGCTTTTTTTTCTTATTATTAGCTATGGAAGTTTTGGACTTGATCTTGGAAAGTTGTATTATGTTTGGATTTCTTATTGGTGTGAAAAAACCTTACGTAAGAGAAATGTTTATGTAAGTGTAAGATTTGCAAAATGCTGGCCTCATGTCCTTTCGTGCTCTGTCCATTTCTTTTCCATGTATTGAGGAAGTATTGGTAGAAATTATTTAAAGACCTGAGTGGCTGTGTGTGATTGTGAGTTTAAAGATCACAGGAAAAGATACTTTTATGACAGCAGTTTTGTATGGCGTGTACTTCTAACATTTTCTTCTCTTTATCAATTGTCTAGGGGAGCGGCCATTCCGATGCAACCTTTGCTTACGCTGCTTTGTGTCTAGTGGAGTGCTGAAGGCTCACACCAGAACCCACTCGGGTGAGAAAGCGTACCGGTGCCTGGTGTGTGACGCTATGTTCACCACCGGAGGTAGCCTCAAGCGGCACATGTCCACACACAGTGACCTGCGCCCGTTCATGTGTCCTTACTGCCAGAAGACCTTCAAGACTTTAGTCAACTGTAAGAAGCACATGAAAACTCACAGGTGAGTTGAACTGGGGTTAAAACTTTTTTTTCTTCCATATGTGAAAAATTGAAAATACAGTTATTTAAGTGGTAGATTAAGGGACAGATTTTGTGCTGTGCAAGAGAAGCAAGTTTTTTTCAACCACCCCCCCGGAAACTTTTTTTCTTCCATATGTAAAAAATTGAAAATGCAGTTATTTAAGTGGTAAATTAAGGGACAGATTTTGTGCTGTGCAAGAGAAGCAATTTTTTTTTCACACCCCCCCCCCCCTCCCCCCGAGTCAAGTTTAACTATTGGCAAGGGAAAGCCAAGGCTCTTACAATGTACTGATTCAATGCAAACGTGGATGGTGTTGATTTTGTACTTTCCGTAGCATTTTTCAGTCTTTACAATTGATGCTTTGTATCTTTTTCCAGGCATGAGGTAGCGATGCAGCATTACCAGACTGTGAAGGAAGGAGAGGGAGCTGGTGGGGACAACGGTGACGGGGAGCACCGGGGGGAAGATGCTGAGATCGTGGAGGAGGACGGCCTGGCCGGCCCACAGACCCTGGCTGATCTGGACGTCCTGCAGGAACAGGACATTGGGCACACCACCACTGTCCCTCAGCCGGACATGCAGGTAAGTAGCTGGGGTTGAGCAGGGTGGTTGAAGGGTGTTGCTCGTAATTATCTTTTCTGTCCGCCTCTTCTTTGCTTGTTCTGTGTCTTTTCCCCAACTCAAATGATTGTTAGTGGGTGGTTGACGGATGTTCTGGTATGGTTTGCTCCTTCTTTCATGTCAAGCATCTATCATCCTTATCTCTACTTTTTTGTGTTTGTTACTCTCTTGTAACACCTCTGTGGGTGGTTAACGGGTGTTCTGGTGTGGTTTGCTTCTTCTTTCCTATGAAAAACATCAATCGTCCTTATCTCCCCTTCTTCTTTTTTATGTTTGTTTCTTGGTGGTTGGTTGGCGGGTGCTCTGATGTGGTTTGCTTCTTCTTTCCTATCAAACATCTATCATCCTTATTTCCACATTATCTTTTTTATGTTTGTTACTCTCTTGTAACAGCTCTAATCTTCTGGCGTTCATATGACCTTATGCAGTTGCGAGCGCCATAAAACCTCTACTAAAACTAAACTAACTCTCTTGTAACACCTCTAATCTTCTGGCGCTCATATGGCCTTATGCAGTTGCGAGCGCTGTAAAACCTCTACTAAACTAACACCTCTAATCTTTAGCACTTATGATACCTAATTGCATTGTAAGTGCCATAAAGCTCTTACTAAACCTAAACTCTCTCTCTCTCTCTCTCTCTCTCTCTCTCTCTCTCTCTCTCTCTCTCTCTCTCTCTCTCCCTCTTTCTATCTTTCCCATTTAATCAATGTCTCTCTCTCTCTTTATCCATATGACACGTCATAAATATATTATGTCAACTTACACATCCAGACGCTCACTTTTCTTTCTCTCTTTCTCTCTCTCTATTCTTCTTTCTTTTCTTCTTTCTTTCTGACTGTCTACCTCTCTTTCTCTCTCTCTATTCTTCTTTCTTTTCTTCTTTCTTTCTGACTGTCTACCTCTCTTTCTCTCTCTCAATTTCACCCTCTTTTTCTGAAGCTGCCTTATCTCTCTCTCTCTCTCT